TCTTTCCCTGAGAAGCCTTTCCAATCTACTTCTGGGTGTGGAAGGATTGCAGTTATAATTGTTTCCTGGCATATGCTTGTCCTGCAGAGAAGGCTGCAAGCAATTTGCAAATTGTTATAGGTGATTCCTACCATATTCATCTACTCATTCATGTTGTATATCAGCTCTCATACGACAAACGTTTCTAGCTGATCATTTATTCATACTCAAATCACTTCAACACAGATACAACTAAAACTGAAAGCACTCAAATTGATACAACATATTTGTTAAGTGTGTAAGTCTCACAAACAACATGCATATATGCAAGCACAAGCAATCATCTTTCTTCTGTAGTACCTATTTTCGAGCACATTTTCTATATTCAACCACTCATTTCAAATACTGCAATGGATGAAAGTGCTTGCCATAGTTATGTTCTATTGTCTCCCTAACTTAAAATAATCTTCAATATAGTTTTGTGCACAACAATTATGAACCAAGTAATAACAATTTAGCAGCAGGAGGATACTGCAGTAATTCAGATACTGTAAAGGAATTGACACTTCAGTGAATATCAGTGGACAGTGAAATCAAAATGGTAAAAGGAAATAAAATAAGATGAGTTAAACTATAGACATTATCCAGAGTCCAAGAAATTGCAGAGATAAAAGACTCTTGATCCCAGCTAAAGTGATAACACGAATATGATTGTTATGTTTCTGCACAGTAAATAAACTCAAGTAACAAACAAAAACAAAAATGCCCACAATAAAATATCACTTAAAAAAGAAAGAAAGAAAGAAAAAAATCGCATGATCAAATTAAGGGCGCATGTCACGACAAAAATAAAATTCCGTCAAAATTACACAATGGTGCATATAATAAAAAAACACAAGCCAAGAATCCTGGGATAAAAAAACAACGCAACAATTCCAGGAAAGACAAAAACTTTACGAAATAAAATAGAAAATGGAAGAAACCCAATAGAGGAGTCTGACCGGAGAGTTATGCAGAATGCAGATCTCAGTTGGATTCAGATAGTGTGAATCTCTCTCGCATTCAAGACGAAAATGTTAGAGTGACCCTTACCCTGCTTTTTTTGGTTGTTGTTGTTGAGAAGCGTTTTTGAAAAAAGCAGAGGAGAGAGGCCAAGTGGATATAAACGTGGGAGCAAGTTGGGCAACCGATATTTTGGGGGGTGGCTGTGGTCACACCAAAAGATGCAGAAAAATCTCAAAAATCAATCCGATTGTGATGAAGATTATCCATATATAGCTCTAGTCACCGAAACGAAAAGGAAAAGAGGCAGAGCAGAGACATAGATTGTTTTTGTTTTGTTTTGTCTTTGGTTTGGCCATGCAGTGCACTGCAGATGAACCATGTTATATATATGTGCAGCTTAGGAGTTAGGACTTAGCAGTGAACTATGTTTCTATGTGAATATAGCTTTATTTTTTTTTTGGGTACATTTCATCTCTTGATTTAATGCAGAAATTAAGGTAATAGTTTAAAGTATATGAAGGAAGATGTTATCGTACTCTAAAATAGTCATCATCCACTCATTTTTTTCAAAATTTCTTTGAAATAAAATAATAACATAAGAGCGTAAATTAAATGTAATTTTTTAAATACAAAGGATAATATTCCAAGAAAATATTAGAACCTCTAAAATCTTTCTTTGGATTGAAACACTTGGTCTGGTTTCACTGTTCACGGAATGCAGGTAGCAAATCTCACAAGTTCCACGTGTGAATAGTCAATACATCTAATATCTTAGGTCATTATCATAAACTTTTCAATTAGCGGTAGTAGTAGTACACATAAGTGCGTACTTGGGGTGCGAAAAAAAAAACTTAGCCATAAGCGTTTGGCCTGTAATGATTTTAGATATTCTTTTTGTTCTTATTATACAAATTACAAAACCGACGATAGTAACATTAAAAAAATGATTATTGTTATTATCGTCTTTGAGTGTCCAAATTTCAATCGCTTTCAAGGCTTTACAATTATTAATGATCTTTTATTTATTTGTTTATATAAGCGATATCGGAATAGGAGTATTCTTATACATAAACTCAGATAGAAGAATAATTACTCTGAATCACTTGAGGTACAAGTCCCTTTCATTAACAATCATTTAAAAAAAACAAAATTATTATAACGTAAAATTCTACCATATGGACCACAACATATAAATCCAATCCAACTCCAAAAGTAGTTCATTGGCAACCAAGTCAACCCCCTTCACTTTGTGAACTTGAATCATCAACACGATATTTCCAAAACAAAATCAACTCAACCACAAAAACATAGAACGGAAAAGTTGGTGGGGATATCCTCATCCAGATCCATATCGCATATTCTGTTGGTTGTGTTGTGAACCATACCAACATGACAACATTGACTGACGTAATGAGAATTTACAAGTTAAGAGAAAAATAAATGGTTGAATATACCTGAAACCATGCGTTAGTCGAGAGTGAAAAATTGAGAAATTCTTCGGTGATGATGGTTAAATAAATGGTTAAAAATAATCGAAGTAAACTATGTATGTGAATGTTCATCTATAAATTAAAAAAACTACGTAGGGGAATGTTAACGTGGTGTTACATATTTTATCTTAAAGTGTAACCACACTTACCACCTACTAATTAAAATTCGAGTCAATTTGATAACATAGTAACACCACGTATCGGTATGGCCTTAACGCCGCACATAATATTTTTGTTGTAAATAATGTAAAATAGTTATACTATCTTCAATTTGTTATCTACTATCAAAATTACTTTTTTTTTTTTCCATCTCCACAAAGCCCAATAATGTAACTTTCCTTTGGGCTCATCACCAGCCCACAACCCGCCCTTCAGATTGTACCTGGGGCGTCCACTCCACCACCGGTGGGACCTACCGGCCCTTCTTCGTTCTCTTCCGTCCACTTCAGATACAACGGAATTCAAAGTCTCGAACATTCTCAACCGTCGATCAAGTCGCTCACCGAAACTCCAAAAACCCAACATGGCGAAAACGACACCGTCGCATCCAACCCTTCTCTTCCTCACCGTCCTCTTCCTGACAACCGCGCAGCCCTCACAGTCGTTCGCCTACTCGCAGTACCGAACCCTCTTCTCCCTCTCCCCCCCCCCCCCC